AAAAAAAAAAAAAAAAAAAAAAAAAAATACGCATCAATATGCATAGGCGAAGTTATCTAGCCTTCAACATGAAAAGTAGATTTACTGGTTAAAGTGGTGGAAAGTGGAGTGTTGTTGATTTCTATCAGGCTCAAATGCGTTCACCTTTCTTTTCATGTGTGGAAGCAGCACTTAGTCATTAAAACAGCTTGCAAAATTCCTTTGATATATAAACTGTTTCCAAACATGTCAGAGCCTGGGAGGACACCCAGAATGTGACCTGGCTTTGAAACATCTAGGTTCAGTTTCAGATAAGTCACGGTTTTGTAGTTAACATTTTTCTGATTTAAACAAAAAAGAAAAACTCCTGCCTGCACTTCCGCAGGGTTTTCATTGTAGGAGGATAAGCTACCTCCAGCAGAAGAAGCAAGTAGGTGAGAGGTTTAAAACTAAAAAGAGAGTACTTTTTTATGGAGTGTGTAGTTAACTTGTAGAATTTATTACGACAGGTGGTAGAGGCAGATAGGATAGCAGGTTCAAAAAAGGGACTAGATAAACTCATGGATGAAAAATCTATTAATGGCTAGCTCCAGCCAGACTACAAACGCATCTTTTTTTAAAGGGGCCTCACTACCCAGCATATTCCTTTTCCTTTCCTATTCTTCCGTGCTGCTATACCAACAACAGCTGAACCTGCCCTTTCTTCCCAGGGCACCCATGAAAATGCAAAATCTCCTGCACCACTAGCTACCACTAGCAAGTGCCCTGTAGTAGAAGGAGGTTGCCAGCAATGCTAGAAATAATCTGCAGAGCTACACCACTACACTTTCCATTCCCCACAGCCAGCAGGAATGGAAAGTGTCATTAGTGCTAGGCAAGGTAATCCATTCCTGGGCAGTTTCTCTCGGTCTATCTGTAACAGTTTACCCCTGGAGAGACCTGGTCCAGATGTTTGGTACCTTGCAGCTCTAAGGGATGCCTTGCAAGCCAGTTTTGCAACCTGCTGGGCCTGTGTCTGCTTCTGAGGAGATATTTATACTAGGCAAACTGGGTCCTCAACGGAGCCTTTTCCTTGTTCAGAGGCTGTGTCAGCCTTTGAGGCTCTGGGAGCCCAGAAAAAGCTTTGGGGCAGAGGTGCACAACATACAGCCCTTGGCCTGACATCATTTTTAGACCATTTTATTCAATGAAAAAAACTGTGAAAAACTGCACAGAGTCCCGTGCCCTCACTGTGCAATGAATTGTTAATCTGTGTATACATCTGCATGTGTGGTCCAGTCTCCCCTTGCAAAGGTGTTGAGAGCTCATGTCTGACCAGAGCTGGTCCTACTGGCAACAGCCTTCCTTTGGGCAGTGCACCTGGCAGGTGACCCTGGATGAAGGGGGAAGTGTACATGCCTGCTTTAGGGTTTCACTGATGCAACAGGCACAGATTCAGGCCTTGTCTGGACATGGATGGAGCAGCACAGACATGCATCTGGTAAAGACAGCCAGCACCAATGGAAGTTACCAGGATGACTTACCCAGGGCAAGACCTTTTATGAACTGGCACCTTGGCACTGCCTTGCCAGTACACTGATGTTTAGAATAAAAATACCGACACAGACAGGACGTATGGGAAGTTCAAACAAGCCTGGCTCCATGTTCAAAAACACCATCGGACATAGCATCTCTCCTGACACAGCATCCTAGCCTCAGCTTGGACAAGTCCCCGTACAACCTAAATAAAGGAGCAGGGAGGGAGCCCATCTTTACCCCCACATGTCAACAGCAGGACACTGTAACAGCTCTGAGTGCTTAATGACATGAGAGCTTGAGGATAGCTAAGTGTACAGAACTTGTTTTACATGCAAAGGACTGGAAACCAGGGGTGATTTCTTCACTTTAAAAAAGAAAAAGAACAGACAGCCACAGCCCCTGGGATCATCCTTTCCTCTAGATGCTCCAGATCCCTGCAGCCCTTGGGAGCACTTGACTTGTGTGTTGATGGCAGTCTTAAGTAAAATTTAGATTATGGATTCGTATAGCACTGTTCAAGGACAGTACCCTATCAAAAATCACAATGTTGGTACTTTCCTAGGAAGGCTTTCAATCATCCCTGGCTTATGCCTTCCATTTGCTTATCCTTCCACCCTGCAACTCAAACTTTCATGTATCCTTGGTAACAGGCTTATTTCTCTAACCAGCAATTACCTGGTTTGTATGTTTTTTAAACCCTGCTGAAATGCTTAATAAATTAGTCCTTTCTTTTAAAAATGTTTTTTTTATTGATGACCTTGCCCATCTTGTGTACGACAGCCTATTGAACTCAATACAGTGCTGTCACTTGGAAATGTGTTCCCTTCTTGCTTCAGCAGAGAACTGGTTTGGGCGTTTTGGCTGAGTCAAAGTGACTTGAAAGGGATGAGGAATTAGTGCTTCGTTGGAGGTTATTAAGCATTCAGTCCACAACAAGTTATGTTTCTCACAGCAGCATCGGTCTGTTGCCTTTCAAAGCACCTCATTACTTCCTGGAGAATATTCCCCACGCTGTAGCCCTTCTTCACCGTTTTTCCATCTAGCAGAGGAAGCTTCTTCAGATCCTTGTCATTTACATGCATAAATGACAGCTTTTCTGAAAGTTTTCTTGAAGGAAAAAGAAGGCAGCGAATCTCAATCATTTTAATTCAAACGTCAGAAAAGCACTGCTCAATGGATAAGTCAAATTTAGAAGTCTGTGATAGAGCTTCACTGCAAACATCACTTAAAACAGGGTTCCAGGACCCAAAATCTCAAGCATGCAGCTTACAGCAATGAAAAGTGAAATGCATGGCTCTGGAAAAGATGAGGGAAAAAGAGCATTTGAATTCATTCCTGTAAGCTTGCATGGCTTGAGAGTTTGGGGTCCCAGGACATTTACATTGAAGTGGTGTAAATACTAGACTTTGAGACCTGGATTGCTGCTAGGGCTTATCTTCTCCTGCTGGGGCTTTAAGAAAGTGGGTCTTGTGTGCAATTCAGTGGATTATCTGAAGGAGCCAATGTGTGCTGGAATCCACTTGAATATTTCTGAAGGTCACTGCTGAGTGAACCCAGAGTAAACTTCAGTCTTAGAATGATCTTGTTTCTCATTGTCTTTTATTACAATGACCTCCTTTTCCTTCTTATTTGCTAGATCAAGTTTATTTGAATGTTCAGAGATGTTGACTTGCATCTTTCTTTGCTTTTGGATCTTTGTCTTTTACATTCAGGCTGGAGACATCAACAAAAGAGGTCACTTTGTGGTCCTAGTCCTGGTCCTGGTCCTTCAGGTTTGTAGAGGTCTACTTTACACATGCCTGCCTGGTTGCGTAACCAGTCAACTTCCTGAGACATCTTTGCAGATTGACGATGGAGCTGTACACAGGACCGTAAAGTGTTCTTCTGTCAGTTGAGCTACTCTGAGCCTGCCAGACTTGATGTTGCCTCCTCTCTCAACTTCCCCTGCTCTTCTACTGCCAGATCTCATGGTCACTGTTTTGACTCTTGGTTTCTACAGCAGCAGTGACATCGCAAAGATTCAGTTTCACCAACAGCAGCTGATGTGTTGGTCCTGGTTCAGCATTAGCCTGCAATACTGTTTTTTCTCTTGGGCTATAATAAATCTGTTTCCTTGGGTTTTGGAGGGTGTTTTCAGATAGAACTGGGGAAGTGAGGGAATGGGGAATCAGTTCTTCTCTCTTTTTTTCCTTCCTCATCTGCCAACCCCTCCTTAAAAAAGAGGAGGCAGCAACTCTTATTAATCTACATTTTGGATGTGTAGTTAACATAACAATAGTTTAGCACAGAATTTAACTTCTGGTTAGAAGAGGGAGTTGGGCAGGGGGAGTGTGATTGGTCTTATGGTGTTATCTGTCAACTAGCAATAGCACAAAGAATAGCTCACCAACAGTCTAATGGTGGAAGGAAACCTCTACGTTTGAGAACCTTCTGCTTTTCTCCCTTTGCCACTTTTTTTGTCTTCTATTTTTACCCATTGCTTTCCCTTTTTCTTTCTCTCTTACAAATACAGCGTCTGTGTCTTCCTTTTCCTCTTTACCTCTTGAAACCACTAAAAACACAGTGGTAGTGTAAATGAGATGTAAAACCTGGTCCATGCAGACTTTCCTAAAGCTCTTATTAGTAGTCTGAAAAATCATAGAACCATAGCACTTATTTATGGAAAAGATATTTTTGTTGTTGTTTAAGGAACCTCTCTGCTAGTACAGAATTTCTCCCTACAAAGTGTTTTCCCTCGTTTCATCTGATTTTAGTTTTATTACACTTCCCTTTATAAACTATTGCCCATCTGGAATATCTGGAGAGGATGGATGTGTTTTGTGGTAGAGCTTCGAAGCAAACTTCTGGCAGATTATGGCTGTAGTGGGCATGTTCCAACTGGAAGCTGAAACAGTCAAACTGGGCTTTCCTTCCAGTTCCAATTTTGAGCTGTTGCAAGCTGAGCCAGAATTGGAGACCAGAACTAAGATCAGGGAGCTTCTTCCTCCTATGCTGTTGGTGAACCTCCCTGCCACCAGGTACACACTAGGTCCCTACTGGATGTAGGGAGTGTGAAGGAAGAGGGTTAACAAGGAGGTCTTGCAGTTTTGTGGGGCCTTGCGTGTGGCATGCAAAAATGAGTTTGTGAAGGGGAAGGGCAGCCAGAACCCCAGCATGTGGTTCTGGAGAAGCTGAAACTTGGGATTCCTTCCCAACTCCCTCTTTTACCCAGCCTGACTTCCTCTTATTAGGGGTCTACCAGCATCCCTCTTTCTCCACAGGATGGTCAAACACTGGGAGATGCTGAAAGTCATGCCAATAAGAAGTCTGTCTTCATGGCACCGTGCAGAGGCCTCCAGTATATAACTGGTGGGACCAGGTTGAAGTAAAGACTGTTTAACCAGGGTCCTCATCATCCACAAGTTGCAGACAGTCCTAGTGCTTGGTGTTGGGGTAAGATACGAGAGGAAGGAAGTGGATAGTGTTGAGTCTGAGTACATATGTATGTTTACAGGAAGCTAACTGCCTAGATACTGAAAGGGGAAGGTGGGGGCCTGTGGGGTATTAGTGGGACCAGGACCTAACGATAAAGGTTAGAAGTGGTAGGGGGCATCCTCCAACAGAACTCACTTGTGGTAAGAGCATATTTTGGGGATGCACAGGTGACCCCGTGAGCCAAACCCTTGCAAGAATGGGCCTTCCACCCCCTGTACACTAATGGTGGGTGTTATAACAGTGATTCCATGAGGTCGTCTTCATTGGCCTCTTCCAAAGACTGAGTTGCCAAAACCAGCTTCTAGGTCCTGAGAAAGTGGTGGTGGAAGAATAGCAGTCCAGTGAGATCTCGGGAGACTTTTTATATGGCAAAGCTGTTGTGGCCTATGGAAGCTCAAGCCACTCTCAGTTAGTTAGTCTAAAGTCAGGCAGAAGATGAGGGACACCTTGGAGACTAACGCAGCTAACCGCCTCAAAGACATGCCAGTACATCTAATGTGGACCCAGGCACACCAATGTAAAGCTTTCTCACACCAGTATTCCCTAGTCCATATGGGAATCATTGCATCACTATTAAGTAGCTTTCTGCAAGTCTCACAGCACAGCAAGCAAGGACTGGACACCTGGGGGCATGAGCCACTGAAACTGGATACCAGCTTCATATTGCAGAGAGGGGGTTGGAACTTGGTTTTTGGATAGCATTGTGGGGTGGAGGACAGACCACCTGGAAAGCACAACCAAAAAGTCCACTGCCATAAAGAATAGTTATTGAAAATAATGATTGTCTGCTTTTGTTTCATGAGGCACAGCTGCCTTTTGTGTGGCTGGGTGAGTGTTTCATGGAGAGAGAATAAATTAGATAAAATTACTGAATAAGGTTGGGTCACAAAGAAAATCCCATTGGGATGCCACAAATGCAAGTAAAAAGAGGTGTGGTCCTCCTACTTGTATCTCTCAAGATTTTTTTAAATAACCTTTGTAGCAGCAGGATGTTGGCTGTCATGGTCCTGCTTTACCTGTGGCAGGTTAGGATGTTATATCTCGTGGGTGTGTCAGGGTTAAGTGTATAGTTTTGCTATTAGATGAGACAGTGGATTTATATAGAAAGGTTTGGATAGGAATGATTCTTCTCTATGATTCTATGATTTAAATGCTTTTTGAGCTACTATACTTCAGGGTTACTACTGTTGTTTCTGTTCAGAAAAATATTGTAGATTGTGCACTGTTGTATCGAGACATAATTAGTGATTTTTAGTCTAGTGTATGAGTTCCATTCAAGCAGAATTTTATGTTTTTAAGCTGTAACGTGGGAATTATATGTCTCAAAGTATTTAGTAAAGTAAATTTAGTTCTACCCCATTTATTCTTTCTGTTGGAGTTGTGCTGCTTTCCACAGTGTTGGGATATGAAGAATCGCATTGTTTATTTTATACAGCACTATCACTCAGCAGAAATTTGATAAACTTTTTCTTCCTAAAATGAATGTGTTTGCTACTTGACTGCCTTAGAAGTTCCTTTATTCATTTTGTTTTTCTTTGTGGTGTATCTGAAAGGCAGGTTATAAACTCAGTGTTTGTTTGTTTTTTTTATTCTTGCCTTTAAAAGCAGTTAATTCTTATTTCTCCCCTGGATTAAATAAATGTATGTTTATTTTATACAGTGCCAGAATCTATTAAGACCAGTTTAAGCCAGCCCCAACCTGCCGGTACCGGTACCAGTACTTCCACCAGCACTATTACCAACAGCAGCAATGGCAAGCGTGCATCTGCTAATGGGCAGCAGCCAGCTGCATCCCGTTACCTGCCTCGTGAGGTGCCTCCACGCTTCCGCCAGCAAGAACAGAAGCAGCTCTTAAAGAGAGGTCAGCCACTGCCTACTGGGACCCTGACCAGCGCAAGCCCAGTACAAGGTACTGGACAAGCAGGGGCAAGTCCTCCTCCTCAGCAAGGAGCAGGTGGACAGCATCATCCCAGTAAGACCCAATCAGGTAAGAGACTTACTGAGCTCTTTGTCTGTGTAAACATGCCTTTATGCCTTTTGGTTATTTGCGGAGACTGACATAAAGACACTTTTTAAGGAGTACTGCATTTTTACCTATATTAAATAAAAGTATTGTCAAGTTAAACATGTGCAATTGCTTCCTTCTTTCTGGTAGAAGAAAGCAAATGCATTAGCAAATTTGCATATAGAAGTTGAATTTGGAAATATTTATGAAGGCTGAATTTTTTAAAAGTTTTAGCTCAGCAACTACCTCCCAGTGTATCTTCTCTCCCTTCCTACCTCCTAAATTCTCAGCATAATCAATACTGCACCTAACCCATATTCCTGCATATCTTATGGAGTGGGGAGGGAGATCAGAAATAAGAAGTGTTGGATTTTTGTTAGCTATCATTAGTAAGTTCTTTGTGCCATTTGTTTCATAGTTTCATAGTTTCTAGGGTCGGAAGGGACCTGAGCAGATCATCTAGTCCGACCCCCTGCCATGGCAGGAAGAGCACTGGGGTCAAATGACCCCAGTAAGGTGGTCATCCAGCCTCCTCTTAAAAACCCCCAGGGTGGGAGCCTGCACCACCTCACTTGGAAGCTGGTTCCAGACTGTAGCCGCCCTGACCGTGAAGTAGCGCCTCCTAATGTCCAAGGATCAGGATTCCATTATATTATTTTAAAAATGATCCAAGTTCATTACACAGTGGCATTAACTATGGGAATCTTCTAGCTTCTGAGTGCATGTCTTTTAAACGTTAATATTCTATCTGAGTTTTTTTTTGTATATAAACTATATACATAGGCCAAAAAGTGTAAACTTTGTAGTTGTACTGTGGCCTTTGTTGTATACTTGCCTTTGTTCTGTCTGTTTAAAACTGTCAGCAGCATGATGAAAAATAAACCATGGGAAAGTTTACTAAACCAAAATAGATTTTCTAAATCAAAATAGATTTCCTACCCGGGTTGCCCTTTCGCTTTTTTAGATGGCAGTATGAAGGGATTCCTTTTTTTGGTAGCTGGGATTAGAGTATATGAGGTCAATCTAACACACGTTTCCTCTCCTCTTTCTTTCTTCCCAGTAGCTACTTGGTGAGGAAGTAAAAGGTAGTTTTACTTTCCCCATTTCATATGGGAGATTATGTAACTTATTCTCTCAGGAGAGATCCATTCCTTCAAAGTCTGGAATAGGTACTTGTTAGGAGTATGCAAAACGGGCCATATTAGTTTTGGATTCGGATTCGGATTCAGCCCAAATCAGGGGGCAGTTATTTGGTTTGTTGATTTGGATCACTGTCACGATTTTGATTCAGCTGAATCAGCATCTGAAGATTCAATGCAGATTCAGAGAATCAGCAATTTGGCTGTCAACACAGTTTTAAACATTTTTTTCTACATACCTCAAGGTACTAGGCGCAGCTCCTGACCGCTGAGATGGTGGGGTGGATGGAGCATCCCATAGGAGCGCGTGGAGGGGTGCCCTCCCATGTGCTCAGTGGCCTGGAAGTGGACCGAAAGTATTTCCCTGCTGTTTCATTTTGAAAACTAAATGGATCAATTTGCTTTTATAACTTATTTTTCTTCCTTTATGTTTCCTTTTGACATGGAGGGGCTTTTAGATTGTCAGAATAAATCGACATTCCCCTTCGAATAACAATACTTGTTTGAATTTTTATCCCATTGTAGTGAAAAGGAAGAAAGTTCAGGAATGTAGCAAGAGGGTTACAGGAACATCAGAAGGTAGTTATACATTTGCCTTCTGTCGATTTCAGGTAGTTCAGGTTCATCGTTTATTGCCCAGTTTGCAGAAAGAATGGCTCTGCCAATCAAAGAATGGCTCTGCCTCATAACGTCAGTTAAATTAATGTAATTTATTTGCAAGCTGTTATTTCTTGCAGTACTTTGCACCTAGGATGTGATCCTCTAACTTCTTTGTCTGTAGTTGAGGAAACAGGTTAATCTAATTGGTTCTGAAGTTTCTAGAAAAATATAACTACATAAATTGAACCCTGGACTTACTGTCAAGAGATCCTCCATAATATCTCTCATGTTCAGAGTAAGGGTTTTTCTTATACGCTTTTGATTTAAGATTCTAAATAGCAGTTCCTAAACTAGGGGCTACCCTCTGAATATTATGGGATCCCAAGCTCCAGAAACTTTATTCCCCTGGATGGGATTGGCCTGAAAGTGGGGTTGACCGTGTTTGCAAGTCAGGCAGAAGTTGGCTTCACTAATGGGACCCAAGTAGAAGATTGGGAACCCTGTTCTAAAAAGTCTGTTGGAGGCGTAAACATTTTTAAAAAAATACAATTATTCAGCGCCAGAGACATTTCCAAGCTGTGTTGCCAAACTGTTTGCAATTCACCAACACTCAGTATTGTCCTCAACCCAAGAGAGCCTGGGAAAATTTGAGCCTTGCAGAAGGCTCTGTGTAAGCCATTGCATCTCCTCTCGTGAAAGTCTAAAGAAAAAATATTGGCTTTAGTTAAGTCCCTTCAGCAAGAATGCCTTGCATCTTAACTGTACAAAATGAAATGTCTTTTGGGGTTACAAGCTGGGTAGACTGTAAGAAAAACATAGTCCTATGAACATATAATAAAAATACTTGTCCTCACTTGCTGTGGAGAAAGGTATCCAGAAAATACATCCAAAACCCAAAATAAAGCTCACACTTTATTACAGCATAACCAATTAAAAAGCTCATAGCTTTTAATAATATGAGGCTAACTATATCTTGCCTTGAACCAGAGCTTTGGTTTTTCATTTTCTTGTGCCTTAGTTTTCCATTGGCTACTTTGCTGTGCCAGTGTTCCCAGCTGAGATTTGTCAGTTTGGCTCTCTTAATCTTAGTTGCCTACCAGTCTGCAACAGCAGTTGTCACAAAGGAGTATACGAGGGTGGATAAAAATAGATAATTTTTTAAAATTAAAGACTCAAATGATAATCTTGTGGCTACGCCACATGAGAGTGCTGATATTTTTAACAGTTTCTTTGCCTCTGTTTTCTTGAACAGGCATGGGGACATCCCTCCTACCAGAGGTAGGGACAGTCTTGGGGGTAGCTCTGTCAGGCCTTGGGTCAGTGCAGTTGTAGTTAGGTATCTTCTGGAAGGGCTGGACATTTTTAAATCTGCAGGTCCAGATGCCCTCCACCCAAGGGTGTTGAGGGAGCTGGCAGGGGTCATCGTGAACCCTTTTGCCCGTCCGTTACGGCCTTCGTGGTCATCTGGCCAGGTGCCGGGGGATTGGAAACTAACTAATGTGGTCCCAATTTTTAAGAAAGGGAAGAAGGAGGACCCAGGTAACTATAGGCCTGTAAGCGTCACTGCAGTGCTCGGGAAGATCTTGGAGAGAATCATCAAGGAGCACATCTGTGGGGGGCCAGTAGGGGAGATCATGCTCAGAGGCAATCAGCATGGGTTTGTCAAAGGAGGTCCTGCCTGACCAACCTGATTGCCTTTTATGATCAAGTAATTAAATCCTTGGATGATGTTGTCGCTGTAGACGTGGTCTTTCTAGACTTTAAGAAGGCCTTTGACACTGTCTCTCACCCCATTCTCTTCAGTAAATTAGGTGACTGTGGCATTGATGCCTGCACAGTTGGATGGGTAAAAAACTGGCTGATGGGATGCACCCAGAGAGTAGTGGACGTGTCGTTCTCAACCTGGCAAGATGCGAGCAGTGGGGTCCCCCAGGGCTCGGTCCTCGGGCCTGTGCTGTTTAACATAGAATCATAGGAGTGGGGTCGGAGGTGACCTTGTAGATCTTCAAGTCTGACCCCTGCCTGGGCAGGAGAAAAAACTGGGCTCAGATGATCCCAGCTAGGTAGGCATCAAGCCTCCTCTTAAAGACCCCAGGGTAGGAGCCAGCACCACTTCCCTTGGAAGTTGGTTCCAGATCCTGGCTGCCCTAACTGTGAAGTAGTTCTTACGGATGTCTAATCTAAACCTCCTCTCCAACAACTTGTGGCCGTTATTCCTTGTTATGCCAGGGGGCGCTAGGGGAAACAAGGTCTCTCTTCATCAGTGACTTGGACAAGGGGGTTGAAAGCATGTTGTCCAAGTTCGCTGATGACACTAAGTTGTGGGGCAAGGTGGACACACTTGAAGGAAGAGAGAGGCTGCAAATAGATTTAGACAGACTACAAAAGCGGGCAGATGAGAACAGGATGGAGTTCAGCGTTGACAAATGCAGGGTGCTGCACCTTGGGAGAAGGAATCCACAGCATACGTACAGGCTGGGAGTTCCCCTCTTGAAAGCACTGAGCCGGAACGGGATCTCGGAGTCATTACTGACTCCAAGATGAACATGAGCCGCCAATGCCAGCCCGCAGCCAGTGAGGCCAGCCATACCTTGTCATGCATCCAAAGATGCATCTCAAGCTGGTCCAGAGAGGTGATATTCCCCCTCTATGCGACATTGGTCAGGCCGCAATTGGAGCACTGCGTCCAGTACTGAGCGCCGCACTTTAAAAAGGTTGTGGCCAACCTGGAGAGAGTTCAGAGGAGGGCCACCTGCTTGGTGAGAGGGCAGCAGGACAGGCCCTATGAAGAGAGACTGAGGGGCCTGAACCTGTTCAGCCTCAGCAAGAGGAGGCTGAGGGGGGACCTGGTAGCTGCCTAGAAACTCATCAGGGAAGATCTTCAGCAAATAGAAAGAGCCCTATTCTCCCCAGCACCACCTGGGGTGATGAGGAACAATGATGATAAGCCGATGGAGAACAGGTTTAGGTTAGAGATCAGGAGGCAATATTTTACAGTTAGGGTAGCCAAAATCTGGAACCAGCTTCCCAGGGAAGTGGTCCTCGCCCCTACCTTGGGCAAATTCAAGAGGAGGTTGGATGATCACCTGTCCGGGGTCTTGTGAACCCAGCATTCATTCCTGCCTGTGGCAGGGGGTCAGGCTAGATGATCTGATCAGGTCCCTCCTGACCCAAGCTACTATGAAAAAAGTAAAATTGGATTTTTTTTATTTAAATCAGGTTTTCTTTTGATATTTTTTTAAT